TTTTTTTCTGAAATCTTCCCCCGATGTGTGGCTTGACACAAACCTGTTTCTGAGCTCTACAGGCAGTTCTTTTGACCTCAGGGCTTGGTTTTTGCTCTGATATGCATTATCAGCTGTTAGACCTTTTATTAAGATGTGTGTGTCTTTCCAAATCATGCCCATTCAATTGAATTTGCCATAGGTTAACTTCACTCGAAGTGTAGTGACATCTACAAGCAATATGAATGCTCCTGAGCTAAATTTCATCTGTCCCAGATAAGGGTATGCAATGGAATCACATAGTTTTTTATTTTTAATAAATTTGCAAAGATGTTAAAAACCATTTTTTTTGCTTTACCGTTATGGTGTATGGAGTGTAGATTAATGTGGGGGAAAAAAGTCATTTAAAGCAGTTTAACATAAGGCAGCAACATAACAAAACGTGAAAAAAAATGAAGGGGTATGAATACTTTCGCAAGGCACTGTAGATACGATACATGGATTATTAGATATGTTGAATTCATGGCTAAATATGATAGCTGGTTAGATTTGATATATAGATTGTGTTAGATATGATGGATGATTAGGTTTGATGGTTAGATGATTTAATATCATGCATGGAATGTTAGATGTGATGGATTGATTTTTGGATAAATGCATGAGTGAATATGATGGACTAGCTTATTGAAGTGTAGGGAAACAGATGCAGCAGGAACCCTCAGAATGTCAGAAGTTCAATCATTGGTTTGTTATATGCTGTTAGCGTGTATTATAAGTTGTCTATTGAATCCTACACAGTGGCGGCAATAAGAGGAAGTTGAGTGCAGGCATGGCTCTGATCGGTGGGCCGCCCGTGATCTTCCTGGACGAGCCGTCCACTGGCATGGATCCTGTGGCCAGACGGCTGCTGTGGGATGCAATTACACGCACCAGAGAGTCTGGCAAAGCCGTCATCATAACCTCACACAGGTGAGCCACACGTCACCTGACTGATGCAGATATGGACTGGAAGTGAAAAGAAGCATGCTGCATCAGAACAAACCGTTTCTCATTCTCTCTCTGCAGTATGGAGGAGTGTGAGGCGCTGTGCACCCGGCTGGCTGTCATGGTGAACGGCCAGTTCAAATGTCTGGGCAGCCCACAGCACCTGAAGAGCAAGTTTGGGAGCGGATACACACTGCTGGCGAAGGTCCGCGTGGAGACGGAGTTAGAGGAGATGGACCTTCAGCTCTTCAAAGTCTTCATTGAAAGCACCTTCCCAGGTACCTAAATGACATGCTTTGTATTTCCGCTAGACTATTTGGCGGTTTTTATAATTTTCACCTGATGACTCTCACAGGAAGTTTACTGAAGGATGAACACCAGGGGATGGTCCACTATCACCTGACTGACAAAACTCTCACCTGGGCACAGGTACGTCTCAAACACATGCAGTGCAAACATTGTGATGTTTCAAATAGCATACTATTATGCAAGCAGTATGCAAATGATCTGTATGTATATAATATACCCAGATAGACCAAATTGTGACTTTCCCATAATGCAAGGCACAGGACTTGATATTCCTTTTCCAGTGTGACAAATAAACAAGAATGGATCTTAGATGCATTTAAAATTATTTTTATTAATAAATAATAATATTGTTTAATTCAGTTTTAGTTATATTTGGGGTATTTTTACACACAATTAAATAATAAATGCACCATAAATGATTAAAATAATAGTTTAAAGGACACCATTCAGCTGTAATGTATATAGTTTCCTTACTATATTTGATCTAATACTGGTCATAATCCACTATGTATGCAGTACACTAGTTGTCCATTTCCAGTGTGACAGACAAACCCGGAAGTGATAATTACATTTTTTAAAAATTATTTAATACAATTTTATCAATTTGATTTCAATTTCAATTTTTGAAATTGAAAAAAAAAAAAACTGAAACATTTGTTGTTGCATACTGTTTCATAAGCTGTATTTTTATGCTAACCAGTAAACACTGTGTAATATGGAGTACACTAGTTAATTCTAGTGATAACTAATTCTGAACATAACCAATATTTACACAAACATACTTTTTTTTTGACTCACTATTTTGATTGACAGATTTTTTTTAATCTAAAAATGTACTGAATTTGCTTATGCTCATATTCAGTTCTGAACATAGCCATTATTTACTCATTATCTCATATAAAATGTCAACAGTTCACATTTTTGGTTTCCCTTTCACTTTTGAACAAGCTAAAGAAGCATTTTAATGGATTTTAAATGCCGCTGAGATTGTTTCTGGTTCAGCTGTCACATGTGAAATGGAATGTCAAGTTGCATTGTAGAAAAATACACAGTTCGCCAAATGTCTATTATGCACTTCTAACGCACTTCTGTGTCTTTATGTCCCAGGTTTTTGGTGTTCTAGAAACAGCCAAAGAGAAGTACAGCATCGAGGACTACTGCGTCAGCCAGATCTCACTGGAGCAGGTGTTCCTCAGCTTCGCCCAGTTCCAGCACTGCGCCGAGGCCTGCAGGGAATGACATGCTCAAGCACTAAAGGAGCGGAGCTCCTCGATCTGACCTTTACCTGATGAGTAGGAGGTACAGCATGGGCCGACTGACTCTCCATCAGACCACTGGACATTGCTCAGGTGTCTCTCTTCACATACACATCTCTGACATGATCATACGTACGTAACGCACACTTCCAGATTCAAAATTGCGTCGCACGGAGACAGGACCACTAACCCGAGGTCTCCGCCAGTAGGGTGTTTATTTCAAGTCTGTGTGTGCGTTTGCGAGCAGTTTGAGTTTCAGCGGGACGTTCGTCACACCATCGGAAACAACTTTTGAATTATAATCGGTTGATCTAAGCACCGAAAAGAAAGGAGGTTTGTTCATCATCTGTAAGCTCTAAGATTGCTGTTTTATTTATAAAAGTCTTTTTTTTGTTTGTTTCTCCTCACCTGGTATCTGCTGTGGTCTCAATGCTGAAGGTACATGCGCTTCGCCCCTTTCCTGATAGCATATGCAAAATAAGGCCAGAAATATAGGAAAATGCGATGTCCAAAAACATGATTTTAAAGCCGCTTCTTTGGGATTTGCAATGTTGTAGAATATAACATTTACAAGAAAAGTTGCTGAATATGAATGTAAACATTTTATAGAATAGCTTTAGGTCATTTATAGAATTTATACAATAGATTTATTCGCATTATCTAGGCATTTATAGTCAGCTATTTGATAGAAATCTAATGCATCTTCCAAAAAAGGAAATCGTTCCAAGTAATACAATTCTTTCTTATGTACGTCAGAATAAAAGTCACTTTAAATTTTTTTCCGCTGCTAAAAAAATCCCATAAAAAATATTCCTTAATTTTTTTTCAATGAGACCACTGATGTTTTAATGCTATTCCCTCCACGTTTCCAGTTATAATTTTTACCAGTGTGACATTTCTTCTCCAGATTGATGGAGGATTTTTGGGGCTTTGTATAATTTCGCTGGTGACCACTAGAGGACGTACAGTGCACTTTTTTTTTTTTTACATCTGCCTCAAACTGAATGTGTCTTTAGATACACTAAATCGCCACTTGTGTGATTCTGTCACAGAGCAAAAACCACAAGCTTTTGTTTTTCGTTATGTTATCTTGCACTACTGATGTGGACCAATTCATGCAACTTCACAAAATCCATAAAAGAGCTCACAGAAACATGAAGTATCGCAATTCTGGAGGGTTTAACGTACGATTAGTTGTCTGTAAAATCAGTTTTTTCCATTGAATGTTTTTAAGATCTTGTAATTCATGTTGATGAGGCTCAGTGACTCTCAGGTCATGCTGCTAATCTCATTTCTACATTGTTGATGCGTGTCTTTGTTGAACATGATTCTACATCATTACGACGATTGAAACGAAAGCAGCATGGCTTCCCTTCATGACCGTACTGACATCACTTTGGCCACGTTTCCGTCCACGTTCATGCGAACTGAATGTACTTTCGTAGTGAAGGAAGAAAACGCGGGCTCAATCGAACACACTTGACGTACTGTAGATAAACAGGGCTTGACGGTGACTGACCACACATTGTTTCTTTTCTACGTTTTTGTCGTTGATTGGTCTGTTTTGCACAGTGCTCTGGCTGTCGTGTCTGAACTGCTTGTTTGAAATATTGCATTTTGAGAATCGAGAAGGCAAACTCGGGAATGTTAATGATGACAATGTTGGTTTAAAATGGTCAAATGTATACCATAATGCAAAAAGGGAATTTACATTGTAATCTTGTGTACTGTATTACTAAATGAACCTTGTGAGAAATGTAAGTATTGCCATTTCCTTTTTTATTAAATCTGCCTTACGCAAAGGAATTGTGTTCTGTAGTCTTTTTCTTTTCATGTAGATTGTGTTTATTATCGTATGATCCCGTTCACACACTGATGACTAATTTCTGCAATAATTAACAACTAAATCTAGCAAACCTGCTCTAGTTTACTTTCCAGCTCCAAACCCAGATTATGTAATCCAGATAAACCAGCTGTCAACAGTTAACAATTAACTTCAGTTCAGGAGTGTAAACTACTTGAATAATTGTATTATTATTATTATTATTATTACAAATGTATAAATACTTAATGACTTAACAGAACAGATCAAAACAGAACAGTTTTTGTTCATTCATTGAAAGTCAATAAACTCCATTGTTGTTTGTTCTTAACATTTTTTTCAAGATATCATTTTTGTGTTACACAGAAGAAAGTCATACAGAGAGAAAACTGAGTGAGAGAATAATGACAAAATGACTTTTTAGGCTAACTGGCCCTTTAAGTCCCAATTACTTTTTTTTTTTTTTTCCATTTATTGTTCATTTTCAAGGACAAAAATATAATTTATGTGCTATTTATTATGTCTTTTTAAATCATTTAATACTTTTATATATACTAATATGTTTTTTTAGTGTATATATATTTCTGTAATTATTTTCATGACATATTCCATATTATACCCATATTTTAGTGCTTGAATACAATTTCTTCATACTTTTTGCTTCCCTATTAAAACTGCAGCAATGTATTCAGTGACTTTATTAACAGTATCAGAAGGCGTAAGAGCGGTGTTAGCATTGTTCTGGGGAAAAAAAAAAGGAGGCTAGAGTTCATTTCATAGAGTTTTACGAGTAGCTTACATAACTTGGAAGAAAAGGTATAAAGTAACTGGGTCGGTACCCTAAGGTTCAGAAGCTAAAAGATAAATCTTTGTATCTTAATTACCTCTAAATGTTACATATTAGTGCCTTAAAGGTATATTAGCATATTTCCAAAGGGAATCACCCCAGTTACAGTGTGTGTGTGTGTGTTTTTCTGAGAGCATATGAGTTAAAAAAACAGATACAATAATTCCACTATTTAATGCCATTATTCATCTTGAGCTCAAGACCTGTTAGCACTCGTGCGTAAGAATGAAAACATGACATGTTACAGCCTCGGTGTTCCTGTCAACCCCTGACACAGTTAGCAATAAAAGCTAATTATCCTCAGACAGGTGAAGGTTCAGCCATGGGAAAGGAGGACAGATGTCAATGTTTCTTTCACTACAGCGGCAACAAAAGGTATTTAAGTCACTTATAAATGTGTGAACTTCTTGTGCTTCACAATATTTTCTCTTCACTAACTTTTCGTCATAAAAATGTCTTTGAATCAGCTGTTTTTTTATTTATTTATTTATTTATATTTTTTTAAGTAGTAGATGAACCACAGGTGGAGTTCATCACATGATCTATCAACATGATCCACTAATGTTTTGATATACTGCAGTACAGAGATGATATAGAAGTGTGTTGCTCAATGTTTAATTACCTTCGGTCTGATCTGATCTACATTGAAACAGCTGTGTAATATAGTGATGAAGCATTACTCTTGAATCATTTGGCTGTCAATATATCAGGCCAAATAAACAGTGAAACTGGCCCTCAGCCTGCTGAGAATGAACCATTTATAGTAGCTTTTATTGCCATTTATAGTAGCTAGATACAGTTGGTTAATGTTTGTTTGAGAGCCATTAGCTGAACATCCAAACAGTGCAAAATGATTAACACAACAGGCAGAACAGGAAAAGTGTTACATTGTCCTTATAGTTTGAGTATTTGGTTTGTAAATATCTTTGATTATAATTCACAGCACAAAACTGTGGAATCTTGTTTCCACCACATTTTAAATAATAAAAAAAAGGTAATTGTGACTTTATTTATTTCACAATATAGACTTTTTCATTCACAATTCTGACTTTTTCCCCCTCAGAATTGCAAGTAAAAATGTATGCTTTGAGAAAAAAAGTCTCCTAATTGCAAGATATTAAATTTTGAAAAAAAAGTCAGAATTGTGAGATATAAACTCGCAATTGTGAGAAAAAATGTCAAAGATGTGAGGTAAAATGCTGCAGTTACCTTTTTTAATTCTTTTACTCCATGGCAGAAAAAAAAGAGAATTGTGAGATATAAACTCAGAATTGCGAGGGGGAAAAAAGTCAGAATTCGGATTTTATATCTTGCTATTCTGATTTATTTCTGTTTATTATACACATGCACTGTAGTTTTGTTTGTCAATTTAAATCCTTAATCTCTTTAAATCAGGATGAATTCTGATTTGCTGTGTGTTTTTATAATCAGTTCAACAGCTGCAAAAAATGTTCTGAAACTGATTCCAACAACATTGTTCCTCTGTATCGTTATCACTGTAGTTGGTGTGGACTCTGCCATTATTTTAAATTAAACGATTTTTTAAATGATATCAAGTTTTCATCCTTGGTGTGACTGGGCCTTTATTCTTGTAAGTGAATGTGTATTTAATGTAGTCTGGGTTTTTAAGAATGAGCATCACACAACCTGTCCTAACTGTGCACCATTATATGACTCCGAGAGAACCCATATATATGACCCATTTTTGGGAGCTGATTTGATTGACAGGGCCACTTTGTGCACATGACACATCTGACGGAATATTATATTACCTAATCAGGTCTGTGAAAGCAGGTGTGAAGTCACTCCAGGCTGAAGTGTGACAGAGGTGAGAGATGCACTCATGAACTTTGTGCTAACAATCAGTGTGGCTGATTGTTATTGTAAAGATAATAATATATGAAAGATTTTTCGTGTGTGTGTGTGTATGTAATGTATGCGCAATATATAAGAAACAACAACAAACCCTCTTTTGTGCAGAACTTCTTCCTTCTGCCAAGGATTCAAATCTAAAGTTTGACAGTTTAACAGCTGAGCCCAAGCCTCAGTTACTAATTCCAAAATGTCACTTTAGAACTAGTAATGAAGGAATGTTGCTTCATTGAAAGTTTATTGTATTACTGTATTGAAAGCTCACTCTATTATGTAAAGTATTATGAGAGAGAGATGGACTGAGTGAGTTTGATTCATTCTTCAGCTCAATCTCATATTCACAATAAAACATTAGTTTTAATGTCCGCTGAGGAAAGCAATATCTTTGTCGTACTATCCTTTCATCTGTTGAGGGTGATTTCCAATGACAGCGCTGCTCAGTACATTTATTGGCTGTCTTAGAAGGTATTGTTTAAAGTAAAAATAACTTCCTTGTTTACAGCCCTCTTTCAGTCTCTTTTAAAATAAAAGTCTTTTCTGCTGACTCACTCGTAACTCGTCTCTTGTCGCCATCTAACGGCGGAATAATGTAACTAAAATCACCATCACGAACACACACACCATTTCCCAATACTAAATACTATTATTAAATACTACTATTATTTACATAAAATATTATTTATTGAATAATAATATTTAATAAACATGGAACAAATAATAGATTAATGAGACCAAAGACTGCCCTTTCGAATTATATGAATTATATCTCATGTTTAACCACTATATCAGAGCCAGCGGCAAATTCTAGAAGATCTGGTTGAGGTAAGGCTGCTCTTGGTGGGTTCATGATCGCTGAATGGCTGCTGACGGCCTGCAGCTCACATCTCTGAAAACGTCGAAGCAAATTTTCAAACAGACGTTATCTTTATTAACAAACCGCACATTGTAAGTCTAAACAATCTCTCCTTAAAAAAAAACTCTTAAAACTACATTCTTTGGCACAAAAACTATATTATTTATAAAAATTATAGTGGATTTGGGCATCCGCTATGACACTTGCTGTGAGAAATACCGCAAATGTAGTGATACAAATAGTTCCGATACCACTAGAATATCACACTCCTCTCAGCCAATCAGATTCAAGGACCAGAAAGAACTGTTGTATAAATACAGTGCATTGCGAAAGTATTCTTTTTTTTCAGGTTTTGTTATGTTGCAGCCTTATGTTAAACTGCTTTAAATTAATTTTTTCCCCCCACATCAATCACAATGACAATAAAGAGATTTGATTTGATTTGATTTGTTCTCCAGCTGTCTAAAACCTACGGGAACATATTCCAAGTGTTTCTGGGTCCCCAAAAAAATGGTGGTCTTAGTTGGATACAAAACTGTCAAAGAAGCTCTTGTGAACCATGCAGAAGAGTTTGGTGACAGAGATACTAGAGCTGGTTTCAGGATAATGAAGAATGAGCATGGTAGGATTCTTCTTTTTCTGCCCAACATTTATATATACAAACTGTAAAAGCTAGACATTTCGTAAAACAAAGATGTTGCACAAACTTTTCATCCAGTGTCTGGAGAGTGTCTACCCCTAACTATTGGAATGTTTGCTTGAAATTGTGTATGTCTTAAGCGAGTATATATAGGATCCAAGCAATATTTGAACTTTTTTTTTAAAAACATTTTTGTTTGTTTGTCAGTATGTCTAACTCATTGATACAAACTGTAAAAGCTAGACATTTCGTAAAACAAAGATGTTGCACAAACTTTTCATCCAGTGTCTGGAGAGTGTCTACCCCTGATCTGGAACAAAGCCAGACCCAGAGCCCAGCCCACCATCTCCCCGCTGCGTAGAGCTCAAGCCCGAGCCTACCGTTGACGGAGAGCCCGAAACTGCCGCGACCGACGAGCCATCGCCGCTTGGAGCGACAGAGCTGAGGATCGCCGCGGAAACGGAGCTGCTCATGACGTTAGTCCAGGTGCAAGAGCTGGCAACAGAGCTCGCCACGAGGGAGAATGCGGTGGACAGAGAGAGCGAGGAGTGGAGCTCCGCCCCCTGCACCGTGGCTGAGGGTGAGCTGAGTAAGGCTTTGGGCGAATGCAGAGCTGAGGAAGACTTAATTGATTTGTTTGCCGACCTGCCCCCTTTCCTTCCTCCTTCGTCT